GAGGTGATGTTGTTGCCATTAGAGCAGCTTCAGGACACTCGACGCACTTCATGTGAATGTTCGTTAGCCTGCAATGAAATGACACTCCATGAGTGGTGCGTTGAGTGTGCGTTGTGCTTGATGACCCTCACTCAGTCCTATTAACTTGATGAGCTACAACATTGCGCGTCTGAGTGGTGTCGCGTGGAGGGAGTTGTGGAATGCTGGCCACCTGCATTGGTGTGCACGTATGCTGTGGCTTGCAGCGTGCCCTACTTGCTGTAAAATGAGGCGAAAGGGAAGGGAGTTGGGACTCTTTGCCAAAGCGACGTGAGAAGTGGTTGGTGCTTTCACCAAACTGCAGCCCATTTTTACAGCTTTATCTTTCGTCTGTTGCTGCGTCTCTGCTGTGCACCGACAACTAAGACGGTGTCACTCGTCATTCCCAACTCACCGACTGCCTTGCGATGGATGCGATGAGAAGACGCACAAACTTCCAAGCAGTGCTCCTACCTCTCAGCCAATTCGCACACTTACTACATACCTTCCCTTCGAACCTCAGTCCTCTGCATTCCCCTCGTCACTCGAGTGGAAACAGCAGTCGTGTTAACCAAAATTACTTTTAGATGAAGTGCAATTGTTGTGCTCACAACTGCGCGTTGGTGAGGTAAGGGTGATGAGGGAGAGAAGGGCGAACAAATGTGACCTCGACGCAGCAACACAGAGCGGTCCTCCCTTCCTCACCGTAGCAGTGGCGTGACAGTGAAGTCGTCTTCTCGCACACGCCAACTGATCCTCAATGTGGCTGTCGGCAGTGATAGGGCGACTGTGTGGTTTAGCACTCGTTCAACTGTCTCGTCTTCCAACTTTGCATCTCCAACGCAGTGGCAGTGCAGAGGTCGTCATTTCTTCATCCTCCTTCATATTGATGCAATTCTGTCATGCTCACTCTGAGTGCGCATTGATGCGACGAGGAATGCAATGTGCTTGATTTGTCCCACAGAGGTGGAAAATCAGCCTGTCGTCGGTGAAATGCTCAGATACCGCTTCCACCCAATCGCTTGTTAGGCCAATCGGGTGGCCGTAGCAGCAATGAATGGATGCATGTTAGCAGGGAAGGACTGAAACTGCATCGAGGTCGACGTCTATGGTGCCTACTCTTCACTGGCATCACTCGGTGTCGATGGAACTGCAGGTGGACCAGACGCCTGCTCCACCTCTCCTCAATGTCCCTCACCCCTGGGTAAGGGAGGCAGCGCTAAAGCCATCAATGCCTCCACACCCACTAAATGCGGCCGCTTGCAAGCGAACCTGAAGCGAGTGCGCTCAGCATTTGCTCGCCTTGAAGGAGCAGGACAATGAGGGAAGGAAGGTCATAATGCCTGCCACGTGCGAAGCACTGCTGCTTAGTTTCCAATTCATCCTTACTGCCAATGCCGATGACGACGAACCCGGTTGTAAGTCCTCTCCACTCCTTACCACCGTGCGACCCCATGCGTCTACTTTCCGCTTCACATCCACCCTTCGCTTCCCTGTGCGTCTACCACCATCACAGCGTCGAGGATGCGCAACGTCGCCTCGCAGCTGAGTAAGCATGGCAAAGAGGCAAGTACGGAGAAGGACCAAGTGACAGACTCAATTCGTCTAGACAAAGCAAGTCCTCCCACCTCACCATCCACCAGTCTTAACAGGCAGTGTTACTGCCTTGTCTAGCAAACACCATCAACGATATCAGGCCTCGTGCATACGCATTCCACAATCTGAATGCATTCCTGACTGCATATCAGCCTGGCTGTCATGGGTCCTCTTCCCTTTCCAAATGGACTGCGACGCAGCACCAATTTGGCCAGTGCTGCGAACTCTTCCTTGCATCGCAACAGAAGTGAAGCACTTCCACCTTCACGGCCACGTACACAACGCTGCTTGTCAAGTCTTCATAAGATAAAGCAACACCTCACGCTGATAGTACGAATTGCGAACGATTTGAGAGGCCGAAACAAGTTTCACAAGCACCGTAAAATGGGGATCCTCACGCGTGCAGAACTTGTCTGCACATCAAGCGAGAACAGAGACTAATGGCAACTCCATTCGGAAATGGTACAAATGAGCCCGATCGCGAAGCAACTCCTCTTCCGTAACAACCTCACTTACAGAAAACCGCTCGCAGTTACTCCAGTCCACATCTCATTCATTGCCTTCGACAAACCCACAATGTCAGCATCACTAAGAGTGGGGCAAAGAAGTTCGGACTATGGCCAATTACTCTCCGCAAAATTTATTTCGTTCACCGCTCCTCCTTAGGTCACAGCCACACACACGAAAACACTTACACACTTCAAATTCTAGTAGTAGTCATCGTCGTAGACGAAAGAAGTGCGCACCACATCCAGCACCCACCGAATGCTAAATGATTGACACAATAGAAGCAGGAAGGAATGCAGACCAATCAACGTCACATACGGAATACCACTAATTTCACACATAACGAATCTAGAACCGGAGATCGACTATTCACAACCAAAGCAAAACCAATTGAACAGAAGGTGAGTCCACCTTCACTCGCCAAACCGGTTAAATGAGGCAGTGCCAGCTCCACCTCTTTTCCCACCTCCCACCAAATATGGTTCTCAAAAACAAACACCGCTTTAATAGCTTGCGCCATAATGCAAACTAGCGAAAGGAGACAATTACGAAGGAAGGAATGGCGAGCAACACACTTCATCACAAAACATCAGAGTCGTGCCATAGCTAAATTGGTAATGGTAGACCAAGCCACTCATCAACGTCTTGCAGAACACACCATCCCCAAAATCATCACGAGACAACACCTTTCCGCCACACTGCGTCCAACTACCCACACGCTCTGGTCATAGCTAGATGAGACAACGCCGCGTAGTTCAAAGCACACGTATGCACTCTAACCAGTTGGTGGGAAAATTGCGCAAAAGCACACCCACCCATCGTCATTGTCGCCACCACAATCTAGTTGTCTGCCTCCCGATTCACAAACAGTAATTACTGTTGCCGCTGCTGCAGCAAAGTGCCAGATTTCCATCCACCGATGTTCCGACAAAACCACCTCACACATCCACTGAAGGAACTGCCATACACTCGCGCACCTCGATACCAAATTATATGTGCAACGCATAATAGGTCACAGCCAAGTATGGGAAAGGGACATCCAATCTACACTCGGCCTACTCTTGGCAAGCAATACACCGTGACATCCACTGAGCATCAACAGTGACCACTTCTCATTCGTATATGCCTAAGGACCTATTCACCATACGACAATTGACAGCATCCCAAGTCCACCCATCTAGTCTACCCAATACTCCTAGCTGCTATTAATGTCGGTCAAGCGTGCAATGTATGACAACTGACTCCGTTTCCTCTAGCACCCAAACCCTACTGACACTGAACGACACCGCTCCACCAGATGCACAGACACCACCGCACAAGTGACAGACAATGTCCCACATTACAGCCAATGACGCGGCAGATGACAAGTCGCACCAATGAGTGCGAAGAACAGGCATGGCGACAATGATTGAGCTGGTGCAAAATCTGCTCAAGCATTGCATTAACCTACGTAGAAGTAAATCGCGACGGTGTTGACTTTGCAAAACATGTGGCAATTTGTAAAGGACGTTTGCGTGTCAATCGAGCTCCGCTTTTGACGGTGTAACATGCAATGCTTTGGTTGTGTGTCCAACTGACGTATGGGGTTTACTGTAAGGATTGTCTGGTCCCTGTAGGCGTACTCTGACATTTTCCTTGCAACACATGTATTCACCTCTACTTACTGTTTCTTCTACTCTCGAGCTGCTGCACGACACACAAGGAGTTAGTTATTAACACCCTCTGGATCAGAGAGGACATACTAATGCACGTTGCACTGGAGGTGTGGGGATAAACTCCACACTAAGCTCGGTAGTCATGTCTGC